GCAGAGGTAGGCGCTTCTGCTTCCGTTGTTGGTTTTTTGATGATCTTGGGTTCTTTTGCTGCTCGTTCGCTTCGTTCCTCTTCCAAATTATAGTGGTTGACTACTAAAATGTTTAAATTTATTAAAAACTGTATAAGACAATGTGTAAATTATGATCGAAATGAATGTTTATTTTACTTACTTAAACTGTGCTTCAACCATCGCACAGTGATTATACAACTCATCATCATACGATGAATCGAACAGTTGATCCTTCTCCATTTCATCACAAACTTTAGACAACTCCTGATTTAATTCGCTGTTGAATAGTTCCGTATTCTCTTCCATGGTTGTGGAGAAGAAAGCACTGGTGCACACTTCACTGTTGGTAGACCAACTGATACCCAAATTTCAAATAATGTCCGATATTTATAGTCTAGCAAAGGATTAGAAATAGAATATAATGAGTACACAGAAGTAATTTAAGTAAACAGAATCACATTCACTAATGATCAGCTAATGACTGTCATTGTTAAAAAAATATTTTTTAACTTTTTCATTTTCTGCTATTGTCTTTGTAATATTGTATAAACGTCGAACGACCATATACTAACTCAATGACTGCAATTGCTTGGTCTTATATAGTACCAGTAAGTGATAATTCTAATCTAAAGAATTTCTGCAGTGGAATTGATAATAACTTTATGCGTCAACAAGCTTATCTCACATTCTGTTGCTTATCTCAACATTCCTTCGTCCTTCGTGTCGTGTCTTGTTCAGTGTATTGATGACTCAAATACGTTTTGTATAACACAAAGAATGCAATTTAATATTTAGAAATCACTATAATTGATCATTCCTATGTTAGTCATTGAGTAGATTGGTACTGTAATAATCTACTAATAGCAGTAATATCATGGATACACTAGATGTACAACAACATCTGAAAAAGATTCACCCCACTCTAGAAAATAATGTTTATGCTGCCAATAAACTGCCCATGTACACCCACGTACCAACGTATATAATATGCAATTTGGATACAGATGATAAACCAGGGTCACATTGGGTAGCTTTACATATCGATACGAATGACGTCGGTCAATATTTTGATTAATTCGGACGGGCACCTGTACGATATCATCTAGAGTTTTTAAAAAGAAATTGTAAAAGATGGAACTGGAATGTTGATAGGATTCAGAATGAGTGGACTTCAGTTTGTGGCGAATATTGCTTAATGTATTTGCTATATAAGTTTCAGGGATGTTCAATGCATAGTTTTACAAGTATATTTACAGGGAACACATTGTACAACGATATTTTAGTGGATGAGATGTTTCGCTCCTATTTTATAGACAATAAGTAATAAGATTTTGTATTTTGTAAATAAAAATTTTAACAAAATTAGGTAATGCGTTTTATTGATGAGTCAGATTAGTGTAGATAGGAACAAAAGAGTATAATACAATAGTACCACGCTGAGGAAGAATAGATAATGACGGTATTCAATGAACAATAGATAAGTAGATAAGGACAATGGAGCGCTAATGACGGTTGAGGCTCGCACCGGATATCAATTAGATAAGAGTTAATTGATCTGCACATCTCTGGAACCGTGCATCCTACGCAAAAATGAACCGCAGATTCGTGATCAGAGCATGCCGAAACCTTTTTTTTTGGATCGTGAGTCGACGAACGTATGGTAGGGTCACGCTGCATCTATACAAAAATAAATAAATTTGAAAAAGAACTGCCTGATTGTAATGTCAAAATAACAGCTTTTAACTAAATGTATATGAAAGTATATACGTTACTTATAACAAAAATAAAATTTTTGTCTGTCTGTTTGTTCTGGTTTATCCCTGAAACGGCTGGACCGATTTTGACGAACTTTCACTGACAGATAGCTGATGTTATAAGGAGTGACATACGCTATTATTATTTTAGAAAAGGAATTGAGGTTCCGCACAAAAAAATTTAAATCCTAAAAATTACACGCGGGCGAAGTCGCGAGGAATAGCTAGTAGTATAATATGCCTGTAACAAGAATAAATCGACTCGACCGGGGAAGGAACACGCTCGCACAGAATACCAGCGTCAAATAGTAGCTTAATGCTGCTGTGTTTCTTATGGTGAGTGTAGAGAACCGAAGACCCTTTTTTACTGGAAACGAGGTATTCAATCTAAGTCCTCACGGCTGACAACGCATCTGTATTTTGATTCGTAATCGAGGATAGATGTAGATGTCTATGGGCCACAGCAACCACTTACCATCAGGTGGACTGTGTGCTCGTTTGTCACCCTATCCTATAAAAAAATAACTGACGTGAAACACTGACGCTCTTGGAAGTCTGCAGTCTGTGAACATGTTCAAGATCGTCCCCGCCATTACATAAGATTTGATAGACCACAATTACTCGCTAAAGAGCACCGATTTCTACCAAGGATGATACGCGAGGCTATTGAAATTAAAAAAAAAAACATCCTAATTTCAATAGAGGAGACGAATGAGAGCTGCCATCTGCATAGGATCGTACAATTAACAAAATTTAATCCTAACCTAAGCATAGACAGACAGACAGAGCAAGACTTCTAGATACTGTAAGCACGTTCTGCGTAGATGCAACTAAAACAACTGGTATGTAAGGTAGTCGAGCTAACTGACATCGGGACGTCAAACATCTCAGACCCCCCCCCCCTCCCCGGGACCATTGGTGCTATGCCGGGAATTAAAAAGAAGTAACTTAAACGCGATAAAATCCGTGAAAATCTTTTTTTTTTAATATAGCGAATGAAGATTACCCCGGAATAAAAATATACCTTTCACAAATTTTCAAACGGCCTTCTCTTTTTTGTTTTTAAACCTTTTAGTAGAGACCCTTGTATAAATCTCTGAACCATGTATTCATTCATTGATTCATTACAACTTTTCATAGTTCACTGATATAAATAACCTTTCCCCATAGAGTGCCTTATATTTGCCAAAGTTGCCACGTTTGGCATGGGGGTAGGAACCGTAATTTTTGATTATTTTGATCCTGCTGGGGATGGCCAATGCAAATGCAAAAAAAAAGAGAGAACTTGTATATTTCCTGGGACGTTGTTGTAATAGCGTATACATTGCCCCAAGAAGAATTACAGTGTCTATGGAGTCGAGAAACTGGTATCACTAGCTTGTGTTTGTTTCTAGTGTTTACAGAGTGTGTGTCACTTTTTTTACTAACACCACGATTTTTTTTTTGTGATCATACATTACATTTTCGTAAATTTACTGAGACGCCAAAGTTAATATATTTATTTCTTTAATTTTTCTCTAAGAGACTCTCTCGGTTTTAGGTTGTAAATAGCTCTTAACGCCCTCTTCTACAAAACAAAAATAGTTTTCTTCTCTGCGTTCATGTCGGATAACCGTCCCATCGGACTATAAGAGCGACAAAATAGAGAGTAGCGCACACACTTGGGCACTATAATCCTCTCCAGCACCGATGACTAGTCTCCGTTGAGACTGGCCGCCGTGACCGATATTCGGTCTAGAGGACATTATTTTATTATTATTTATACACAACTGCAGTCCATTATCAAGTCGAAGTATTTGTAAAGCGAAACACATCGAAGCCTAAATCGCGCTATCAAAGTTCCGAAGTAAAACAGTATATATACTTGTAGATACATCATCATTCTCTAAACCATTTCCCATTATCTGGGGTCGGCGCAGTAAATCTTCTTGTTCCATTCCTCTCTATCAGCCGTCATTTCCATACTTACTCCTTTCATTCTCATATCACTCTTCACACAATCGATCCATCTTTTATTCGGCCTTCCTCTGCCCGTGTGTCCCTCCACATTCATATTCAACACTCGTTTTGTGACATGACTTTCATCCCTCCGCATCACATGCCCAAACCATGCCAATCTGCTTCCTCTCACCTTTTCTACCACTGGCGCTACTTTCAGGCTTCCTCTTATATACTCATTCCTTATCTTATCCATCCTTGTCACACCACACATCCATCGTAACATTCTCATTTCATTCGCATGCAGTCTATTTTCATCCTTCTTCTTGACGGCCCAGCATTCACTTCCATACATGACGACAGGTCGGATTCTTTTTTGAATTCTTTTATTAGATATTTAACAGTAATTATAACTAATAAGTTTTTTTTACTTAATGAATATAATGTCGAATTGTCACTACATGGATATCATAATAATTTGAAGTCTTTGAAATGTAATTTACAGTAAAATTCTATTTCAAAAACAAATTAAATGCAATTGTCAGTTCGCAGTTTCTTGACAAATTTCTCTATTAGCTGTAGAACAACAGGTTTAACAAACCTGCCATTTTTAACTTTCTAGTCTTTTATTAGCCTAATTATTGTAGAAAGTTGTAACATGGCTACTAGATTTTACACTGGCACATAGGTTTTCTTTCAGCTAGCTATTGAATATTTTGTCATGAAACCTAAAACTTACAATCACTGTTCTACAATCACAATATGTACATGAGTAAAAATATTTACAACTCTTGTTAAATTAATTACATAAGCATCAAAGTCACAAACACTCATGGTTCCCTCGTACTAAAACGCACGAAGACCACCCCCGACACAATTATGCTTAACACACCTGTTTCACTAACACCAGGCATGATGTATACACAACCATAAACAGTTTCACTACTCATACATCAAAGTCAAGCAAAAACACTAATCAAGGTTAAGCACACATTGCATCGACATGGTATAAGTACTGCATTGATATTTCATAATCAAAAAGGAGCAAAACAAATATCTCTTCTCACCATGCCACTTAACCCTGAATGGAACTTAAACTTACGTTGGCAAAATGAGTAATGTTCCTACAAAATTTAAATATTAGTAGGAATGCCCCATCATAACATTTGAGCATATAAACAAGTGTGATTCCAACATTACTCCGAAACAAATGTATGGAGCTAACAGAACCCACATATACACTAAACATGTCCTAATGAGATGTCCAACAATTTCTAAACTGCAACTTCAGTTTGGTAATGTGTCCATGAGTATTTCCTTTACACCTGTACTTAAACGGTCGGGGAATTTGATGTCAAAGGCAACAAGCAGGTCGCCTTTCCTTGTTGGCTCCTTCGGGAATGGTAAGCCATATCCTGGGAACCGCTTTACTGTATGTGGTTTGACTATTTCACCTTGGAGGTTCACTGTTAACTTCTCACCAGACATTGTTGGTACTTCAATGATTGTGCCACACAGAGCTTGTTTGAGTGAAATTTTTGCTGTATTTGCTCGGATGATCGATTTGTAAATTTTCCCCTTCAGCCTTATTGGCATTCGGGGATCGCACGTTGTGGCTGTGACCTGTCGCCATTTCACCCACCCTGCGTTAATCCTATGCTGCACAGCTCTATCTATTCCGCCGTCGCCTTGAATGAGGGAACCAAGGTACTTGAATTCTGAGCAGGTAGGCAGTATAGCGCCATCCAACGACATGGGTACAGGACTGGAAAGACCGCCGAAATAATATACTCGTAGATACAGTATATATCAATTCAAAACCTTTTGTGTCGTCGAGCTGCGAACGCACCTTGGTACGTCCGTAATGCCGACCTTCATTGGGACCTAGAGCTCCCTATAATTCCACAATTTTTTTAAAAACTCTCTGAGAACTTCTTCAAAGCCTCAGATTCGCACTCCAACCACTTTATTCGTGAGGCAACTACTTATGCAGCCCCACCACCCTCTTGCTATCGAGTCCGCAGGCCGAGAAACTCTCACTCGGACCCGCCTAATAAACTATCAAACGACCTGAACTGCCTCCTGGCGGCTCAGGCCAACTCTAATTAAATTAAAATATTCATAATTAATTTGCCTTCGTAGGCACTCTTTCAGCGGCTCGTAGCCGCCTGCGCCCTCTTTTCCCAAAAGAGAGTCGCTTCCGATACGGCATAAAAAAGCTTAAAAAGCCAGTAGCCAGTCCCCAAAGGCGATTTTTAGAGGGTAACACTTAGGTTCCCCTGGTAGGCAGTGAGTCCCTCATAACCACGATAGACCGGCTATCGTGGTATGCGTAATGCATTTTCCGCCTCCCTACATATAGGATAGCCCTTTAATTGCTTCGGGCGAAAAAAAAATAAAAAAGTATATATCACATGAAGCGTCGGCCGCTTCCCGGGCATAACACTAATTGTAGTTTATCCTTTTGTTTTCTTTTCTATTAATTGCTACACCTACGACAAACTCCCACCACTCCATGGGTTGACTGGTAGAGAATGCCTTTAGGCATTAAGTCCGCCGTTTGTATTCTTTTAATTCTAAAGGGACGCAATAAAGATTTTAAAATAAATTATAAAAAACACCTTGCCCGGCGGGAGATCTCCCCTTTTCCTTCCACAGATCTGAATGCGACAGATGCGTGATCACCCCAGAGGACTTATAGGAAATGCCTAAAAGTCTATATCCTGGCTCTCTTAGTATTCAAACCGAAACACAGTATTGGAAGCACTGCTGCTCAACGTCAAAAGTAGGTAAGGGTAAAGGTAGTTCAGGAAGTGGTTTTAACCCATACGTATTCCTAATATAAATAAAGTTTGAAGCCTAAATACGTCCCGCTGCCAGGCACAGGCGTCCACTCATTTCTGATGGTTAAGAATCAACTAGTCTACCGTACCACGTAGAAAACTACTTTGTGTATAGGCGAAGTTCACATATCATCGAAAATATTTTTTTTCTCAGATACAAGTTTCCTTACGATGCTTTTCTTCACCGCGGAACAAGTGATGTATAAGCATTTGAAATAGCCATTAAAATACCATTGCTTTTCGTATAAATCGAGCTTATTACTATAAGATCTTAGACCATTCAACCCAAAGTAACAGACTTTTTGTTCGTAGCATTAGGCACATCACTCTTCCATTGGGTTGAATAGTCTAAAATATTTGCGGCGAGTGCTTAGTCCCAGAAGTAACTACTAACGTAGAAATATTAGTTTAAATTAAGAAAAACATGATTATCTTTAAAACTGCTTCAGCAACACATTTATAGCAATTATTTTCATTGCTAGCAACAATATTAATATGAATTCATGTAAATAATGATTTACTGCACCTTCTGTAATACACGGTGAAAATAAGTAGCGTCGAAGCACTTAAGCAATAAAATTGCTTAAACACTGACTCATAATGTTAACTTTATCAACGAAAGTTTATAAAGAAAAAAAATACGATATCCCAGACATTGAAATAATAGTCTAAAGGTACGAATACACGTGCATACATTTACAACAATAAGTTTGTTGGTCTAGTGCTCGTGTGTCTAACTTTTTTATAGAACTAGGGTAGGTGAGATATTACGAGCACATTCCACCCTTTGTTAAGCGGATGCTATGGCCCATAGACATCTATGTCTATCCTCCATTAAGAATCAAAACGCAGACGCGTTGTCACTCCTGAGGACTGAGATGGAATGTCGTGTCTATAGAAGTGGTTCTATTTGCGCTACAACCATAAGATTGCTACAGCACGAATCGACCACGTAAAAAACTACTAATCATCGAGTTTCAGGGTTCGAATCCGGGCCAAAAATCAGACATTGGGTTTTTCTGTCAAAAAATTCTCACTAAAAGCCCGGAGTTACACCCCCTTGCATTAGAAAGCACGTTCAGCCTTTGGTCCTACGCTTGACTACCCTAAGGTCGTGTCGGATTGCTTGTCGAATGCCGTCCTATCTAACGGCGAACTATAATCCAGTCCTGCACAGACGCTCCCTCGGAACTGGATACCTAGACCGCAATTCGATCTGGAGGACATATAAATAGAATATTATTATTCAATGTAGATTACAGAGTAATTTTTAATGAAAGAAAATGTAAAAATTATACAACAAAAACACAGCTCGTACAACCTACTTACGAAGAGTTTAAGAAACAGCTTGGAAGCGACAACCTCATTTCCAGGTGTTATTATAAACCAATATAACATAACATAACATAAACACTCACGCCTGTCACCCAGAGGGGTAGGAAGAGACTACGGATTTCCATTTGGTACGATCCTGACATTTCTCTTTCGCCTCCTTTACATCCATATATCTACGCATACATGCTCGTCGGTTAAGGGTACTTCTAACGTGGCCCCTTTTTAAAATATCGCCAATTTGGTCGATAAACTTTTTTCTAGGGCGTCCCTTCCCGACTCGGCCGTTCACATCTGCCATATAAATATGCTTTGTCACTCTTTCCTCATTCATTCTTTCTACATGACCAAACCACCTAAGCATTCCTTTCTTAATCCTGGTCACGACATCATCTTGCATACCACATTTATCTCTTATCACGCAATTTCTCACCCTGTCATTCAGATTCAACCCTAGCATACTCCTTAAAGACCGCATTTCTACAGCATTTATTCTACTTTCGTGCTTCTTCTGACACACCCAGCTTTCACTACCATACATTAAAGTAGGGACTAACACAGCATTATGAATTACCATACGTAATTTTTTGACACATTCTGGTTCTTCACAATAGAGTGTAGTGCCCCATTCACTCTATTCTCTGCATTTACTCGTCGTTCTATATCCCTATCGTATCTACCATCCCTGCTAAATACACATCCCAAATACACAAACTCATCCACTTGCTCAATTAACTCTCCTTCTATTCTTATTTCACATACCGTTTTGCTTTCTTCTCTTTCAAAGACCATCACTTTCGTCTTACTTGCGTTCACTTTCATTCCCCTTTCTGTTAATTCCCAGTTCATTAATGTAAGCATCATTTACAACTCAGCCGCCGATGACGCAAATATGACTTGATCATCGGCATACAAAAGGCATTTGACGGTTAACTCGCCCATTCTTAACCCACATTCTTCATCTTTCAAAGTTTGCAAACACCTGTCCATAAATAGGTTGAACAGCCAAGGGGAAGCTACACAGCCCTGTCTGACACCTTTTTGGATGCCAAACCAATCCGAGTAGACCCCATTGATCCTGACACAAGCACTAGAGTCCATATAAAGAGACCTTAATGCCCGTATCAAACCACCGCTCAACCCATATGAGTTCAGTGTTTGCCATAACACATTCCTGTCCACTCTGTCATAAGCCTTTTCCAAGTCCATGAACGCACAAAAAACTTTCTGGTTTTTGGCCAAAAACTTCTCCGCAATCATGCGCATGGAAAAGACTTGATCTGTACACCCCATTCCCTTTCTAAAACCCGCTTGCACATCCCAAATTTTTCCATCAGTTTCTTTCATAACTCTTTCAATTAACACCTTTGCATACAGTTTACCCACAATACTAAGCAAGCTGATTCCACGGTAGTTTTTGCAGTCCTGCTGTGACCCTTTTCCTTTATATATTGGTACTATAATTGCTTTACACCAGTCATCCGGTACCCGTTTTAATTCCCAACATAAATTAAACAAGGTGTACAGCAGGCCTGCCACCACTCCCTCTCCCTTAGCATCTCGAGTGATACTTTATCATATCCAGCTGCCTTACCTGCTTTCATGCTTTTCATTGCTTTCATTATTTCATCTACACTTATCTCCATACCCCTTTTCCACTTCTTTCGGAATTTCTAGTTCATTTAATTTAGACGACTCTTCACTCTTAAACACGCTTTCAAAGTATTCCTTCCATCTGTTTAAATTCCAAGCTTCATCATTCAGAATACATCCATTCTCGTCTCTTATAGCATTCATTAGAGGCTGTTTTGTATTTCCCCTGGCAGTTCCTACGAATTTCCAGAACATTTTTATGTTAGCCTAGAAATTATCAGATATCCTTCTATCATTCTTATCCGTTCTTTCTTTCTTTTTCCTTTCAACTACTTCTTTTACTCTCTTATTTAGACGTCTAAATTCTGCCTTTTTTCTTTCAATCTCATCATTCATACCAGAAGAATTACCAGCTTTGGTTGCTAGTAAATCTAACCATGCTTACTTCTTTGATTCAACTTCCACCCGTACCTCATCATCCCACCACAACGTATTACTTTTCCTTTCATTTATTCTCTTACTTACACCACATACTTCGGTGGCGGCATCCACCAAACTTTTCTTAATATTGTCCCACAGAGTATTCAAGTCTAAATCATTCATACACAACTCATTCAAACATCTAATATTTCCTCTCAGTCTACATTTATACTTCTCTTTCACATCTTCATCTTGTAACTTCTCTATTCTTATACGCTGTAACGCAGTGGTAGACACAGA